TTTACTTAAAATACTCACTGCACTTTGACCAGCGTTCACAAACATATATATGCACAAAACAGCTGAGGTCGAACAAGGCTGCTTTGGTATTCGCTAATCCAATACTCATGGGGACTTTATATAATATAACTACTGCAAATAATGACAGATAGGCTTTATGTATAACTTTGAATAACTTAATGAAATTTGTCTTTGAAATTCGTTTTACCCGCCTACATTGAACATTTAGGGAATTAATATATTTTAAGTAAGTGTTTGCCAATTTTTCCTGTTCTTACCATTCCACTATCAGTCTGTGTCATTTTTTAACTCGATACAAAGCTGTGGTACCTCTGTTGAGTTTATGAAACCTTCTTAAATATAATAGGGAAGACTGTTCTCAGATGAGGAGTTTCTTTGCTCAATTAGTATACTTGTTGGGAAAGTGCAACATGGTGGAAAAAAGCAAAGTGCCTGGAATCCTCCAGAGTCCATAAATTGACTCAAAGTATGTAGCAACATGTAAGTTCTAAAACTAAGTCTGGTGGGAATGTAGGGATGAAATAAATTAGATGAGAAAATCGGAGTAAAGAAAAAATAATGGCAGAACAGTAAAAGATGAAGACAGCTATGAGGTAAATATTGGTTGCAAATTGGGCTCTAAGCTTCCTAGCAGCTGTTTCTAAAACAAATATATGAGAAATTGCTTCTAAATTATAAAGCTTTACAAAAGTATGAGTTATTATTAATTGAACTATGAATACTTCCAAAGGAGTTAAAACTCGGGGGGTTTAGGTTTTACAGTACTGAGCTTAAAACCATATTCTTAAAATCTTCTGTAAACAGTTGAATATACCATAAAAATTAGATTTTTTTTTACTCCAAAACTTTTTTTTATTTTGTTAATAAACATAAAAAATAATCATATTAGGGCAAATTATTTTTCCTTTAATAACATTAGAGGTGAATCTAGCTTGAGAAATACAGCTTTGTGAGTATTTTAAATAGGTTTTTCTCAACCACAAATTAAACCGTAGCCTAGTTCTCTAAAATACATCTTACTAGTAGAGAAAAATCACCTCTGACTTGGAACAGGAATATAAGATAGGAAAGTCTCTGTCATATAATTTTCTTCATAATTAAAAATCAGATATTTCTTTGTCATGAGGCACAATCCAGTTGTTTCAGAACCAAGTTACAAATCTTGTAAGTATTATCAAAAAAAGTAAAACATAGTCATCTCACCTAATAAGTTATATTTAATTACTAAAAATACCTTTATATTTAACAGCCAGGTAGAAAAAAAAATAGTACAATCTTCATATAAAGTAAAACGACATGTTTTCTATTGATAATTTTTGGGATCCTGGAAGTTTTCACCGTATAAACTTGAAATATATATTTGGGCATTAACTTAAAACTAAGCTGTCAACACATATGTAAATACATGTTTTTCAAGATAAAAGTTTTAAGCACCTAATAGAAGTTGAAACGCATTAACTATGTTTTCCCTTCTCCAAATGTTCAACTGCTAATAACCACTTCTCAGAATATCCCTGAATATATATTGTATGGCATAGAGAATTTTAAAAATGCCTTTTTCTTCCTTTTAATTATGATAGTGATGCTGAATTCAGGACGTGGATATTTACACAGTCTATAAACAGTGCTCAGCAGAATGCAATTCCAAGATGATCTGTACTATGTTACACAAGTGTTTGGTTTTCCAGTTATTTACTGATCAACTCGCACCTTCTTGGTCGTGACAACAGGATGTGTAATTGTCAGTCTAATTCTCAACCTTAGATTTGTTTTCCGCACAGGTGTTCTACCACATCATGTTAGCAGGCAGGTCTTTTTGTTTCGGTTGTGCTTTCATTTGTTAAGTGATGAAGATTCCCATGTTCTCATTTGGAGCCCACTGATTCCTTTAGCCCCCAAGCGCAGGTTGTCTGAGGTGGAAAAGGAGACAGCACGCAGCTGGTCTTTCAGTGCTTTGGGATTAAATCTTTGAAAACAGTGCAATACACCATTCGTTAGATGTGCACAAGCATTTAGAAGGTGGCTGGTCGGATCATCATAGTCGTGGCTTTGAGTGAGTAACCTGATCCTTTCCAGTAGTACCACTTAATACCATTGAATTTATTTGTGTTCTGCCTTTGTGGGTAGTACATTCCGTTCAAGTTGGAAGGTCCACACGCATCAAACCACCAGCCTGTGAAAGTAAAATAAATACAGAAGGAATTAAGAACTAGATAATACTAACTAGCTTACCACTTGTTGTTGTAAGTTGCCTTTGAGTTGATTCCGACTCATGGCAACCTCACGTGTGCAGAGTAGAACTGCTCCACAGGGTTTTCAAGGCCGTAACCTTTCGCAAGCAGATTCGCAGGCCTGTCTTCCAAGGTGCCTCTGAGTGGGTTAGAACCGCCAACCTTTCAGCTAGTAGTAGAGTGCTTAACTGCTTGTGACACCCGGGGACTCACACCCTGGAGTTAAAGATATTCAGCTAATCTTTTAGTTACATCGTATGCATTTAAAGTAGGCATATGTAAATATTGATGAATATATAATATGCTGCATTGACAGATGAGAACTATGGCTTTCCAGCTTCACACAGATTAAATCATAGTTCCATTAGGGCAAAGGTTTTTACCAGCCCTACTTACTCTCCATCACTTGTACTGTGTATAAAGTCCAGTCTTCTCTATACATGAACAGGTAAGCCATCTTCCACAGTCCTGATTTGGTGAGCATACTGCATGATTAGGAAACCCTGGTGGCGTAGTTGTTAAGAGCTATGGCTGCTAACCAAAAGGTCGGCAGTTCGAATCCACCAAGTGCTCCTTGGAAAATATATGGGGCAGTTCTACTCTGTCCTATAGGGTCAGAATCGACTCAGTGGCAATGGGTTTTTACTGCACGAGTAAAAGTATGGATGAGTAAAAAAATTGAAAAATAGTTTGATGACTATCATATGGGTCAGGGCTAGTTTCTGGTTCCAGCAGCATGGCAGACTGGACTAATTCAGGCTTCCCTCTCTCTACCAAAAAAAAAAAAAATATTCTGATTAAAATATAACCCACAATTTTAAGTACTTGGTGGAGCAAGATAAAAAGAGAAGTCTCTAAGTTCCAGGGACAAAAGGTAATTTAAAGCTAGAGTGATGAGCTCACTAAGCTAAAGCCCTGGGGTCAGAAGGGCACACAGCAGGTAAGGTGAGGGAATGCTGGCCCATATATACCTTGTTGAGGAGGCCTTGAGGTTTCAGCACCCTTAAAAGCAGGAGAATGTCAGATGCCTTGGGATTATGAGAGGAAGGAATGACTTAAATCTGCAGCATTTATCTTAGTATATCTCAGAAACATTATGTTGAAGGGAAAATGTACAGTATAATACCATTTTTAGATATATTTTAAAGAGATTGCATGTACTGATATTTATATATGTAGCTAAAGAAACAAAGAATGTAGATGAAACTCAGTTCACTAGTTACCTCAGGAGACGGAAGGGAGCAGTACTGGTACAGCAGCTTTGGCTGTATCTGTGAAGTTTTAATTCTTTTTTAAAATTTCAAATGTAAAAAATATAGTTATTGTGTTTACACATTGCACTGTCATTGCCAATTGTTTTGTCCGTTCCTAAATTCCTTCCCAATGATAACAGCTCCACAACTTAATTGATTTAGATTAATGTACATTGAATAAGTAGTTTGTGTATGTTACTCATCGTCCTTTAAAATGTTTAAGCAATCTATGTTATAGATTTATAGACTTGTCCATTCTGGAGCCAGTTGTTTGACTTAATCATAGAATTACCGTCGATGCAAAAATCTAGTGGATCGTTAGGGTGGTGTATCTATGGTCCAGATCACTGGTTGGAATTTGACCCTTTTACAGTCAAGAACTCTCCATTGTCTCTCTTGGGCTGCCTTTTCTTCTTTCAAGTCTCTTTTTCAGTTCCATTCTCAGACCCTAAATCTTGATTTGAGTAAATAAATATATGTTTCCTTGGCTATTAATTCGATTCTCCTGCTCTCTTGAGTAGTTCATAATATACGGGTGGTCTGAAAACCACCACCCTCTGAAATAGACAGCTGAGTTCAGTGTATGGGAATGGCAAACAGGAAAAAAATGATCAGGTATATTAGGTAGCCCACCCTTTCCACCCTTTTAGTTGGCTTTGAAAAGGATTATTATGGTAGGATGAGGAAGACAAGTAGCCTTCATAAAATCAAGATAATATCTTTATCTCACTGAAGTATTTATAGCTAATAGGAAAGACCTGTGTTACCAAATAGTAATTATGTTCTCTAATGAACCATATGATGGGTTTTTTTTTTTAATGGAATCTAGTTCTTTCAGTATTGCTTGAAGTTAATTGAGAATTACTCAATTTTAAATTGTTTTTATATCTTCCTTTTGACTGTAAACTATTAACTGAAACAAATACTCTATAAGCTTTACATCTTTTACTTGCTAATTCAGTGTCTTCTATTCATAAAATATATTGACCATGGCTCGCTCTTTTGGTTTTCCTGAAATTAATTTTTGATAATATAGTTTATGGTCTCTACAAATTAAACCCTGCCAATGTACTGTTTGTCTTTGTATTCAGTTTGCAATATTGGCAGAGTTATTGTCGCTGTTTTAAATCTTCGCCGTTTTCAAGATCTCTCTTGACAGCATTTGTCAGGCCGTTTCCTTGTCTCAGTCACTACAACTCATTCCCGTTACTCAGTTTCTAAACTTTAAAAAATCAGAATAAGTTTTCTAGCGGTTGGTTTCTTGCAATGAACTCTAAAATGTTTCTGAATACCCATGTAGCCATTTCAAGTAACTGTTACAACAAGCTTTGCCTTGAGAGTCTGATTTCCGTTTTCATTGTTAAAGCAATCTGATATCAAAGGTAGAAAACAAAAAAAACCTAAAAAGAAAGGCTTTGATCTAAAGTGACTAATCACTTATTTTAATTCGATTCCCTAACAATGCAAGTTAATTAGGTCCTTCGTATTTATAAATGCTTGCTATATATGAATGAAGAAGCCCTGGTGGCACGGTGATTAAGCACTCAGCTGCTAGCTGAAAGTTCGAAGGTTCTAACCCACCAACTGCTCAGCAGGAGGAAGATGTGGCAGTCTGTTTCCATAAAGATTTACAACCTTGGAAACCTTATGGGGCTGTTCTACCCTGTCCTATAGGGTCACTATGAGTCGGAATCAACTTGACAGCAGTGGTTTGATTTGGTTTATATATTAATGAAATTCTTTAAAAAGTCTTTTTTTTTCCTAATGAGACAATGCAGTATTTCATGTTTGAACAAAAAATTGTTCATTGGAAATGTTTCCGTAGTAGTGAATCTAAGTCACTGTTCTGTTTGCCATTTTGATTTTTTTAAATCTTTTTAATAAAGCAAAATGAAATTAAACCATCTCTCTGACCGTTGATGTTCAACAAGCACCAATCAGGAGAGTTCGCTGAATGTCAGACGTCCCTTTTGGCCAGGGGGGTGGCTCCTAAAGACCGCAGCTGACCTGGCCAGGGGCGGCTCCTGAGGAGCGCAGCTGACCTGCTAATGTACTAGCTCAGTGTCGTTCTTGCATGAAACTTAAATCTAAAAACGTGGAAAGCAGATTTACCTACATCAAGCTAGTATGTCTGTCTATGAAAACATTGGGTATTATCACCAATCACATTCTGAAATCCAGATTGCCAGTGTTTTACTCTCTGAAATCCTTCCTTACCGATACAGACAGGAAAAGTGAGAAATGCAGTCCTACCTCCTGTCAGCATTTGTGAACATTTGCAAATACATTTGTCGTTGTCTGCGTCCTTCGTGCTAAAGTCGTTCCCTGGTTGGCTTATGCTGCTTATTTTGCCGGCTGTCCCCGTAAGTCCTTTAAGGTGGATCCTGTAAGCACGCAAAGAAAACAAAATGTAATTGTCTTGGATTATTGATTGACTATAGTGAAAAACTTTATAATGAAGAATTCCTTTCTATAGAATCTGGATTCTGTCCTGGTTAGTGTACAGATACGTACTCTGAACAAAGTATTTGCACTGGTATAAACAGGAACCAACTTATCAAATCCTTAGACAAAGAGGAATGTTTTCATAAAACTTTCAGTGCATATCACTTGTACAAGTTTCAGCAGGGACTGTAGGGCTCTGTGATTTATTTTCCTGCTGCTTTCAGATAAACAGTGTGGAAAATACAACACAGAATGATCTCTGTGAGGGGATCCTCTTTCCAGGTCTCCGATCACCATCACCTGTTAAAATGAGGGTTCTAAGAAGACTGGATAACTTCAAACATAATTATTTTTGGCTGTGGGTAGGGGCAGAAGGGAAGGACAGGGTATGGGCAACAAGGAATGATCACTGAATGTGGAGTAGTGTCTCCAGAACAGTATAGAAAATAAATCCCTACAGCTGCTTTGCCTCATTTCTGTGTTGTAGCGTAATAAGCCTGTTAGACTTGGAGAAAGGAGTAAATGTAATATTAAGTTAGACACTAGATAATATTGTATATTTTTAGAATATTGCAAAAATATGCCTTGCCTCAGGAAATGTGTGGCAAGGAGGATATCAGGAAAGGGAGGAAAAAGTATGTTTTGTTTTTAAAATTTTCCGTAACTGTGCTTGAGAGTCACTGCTTCAAAAAAATCCCGTTGGCAGATTGGTACAGTACAGATCAGAGCAGGCTTTCATGTTATGGGGTATGGATGTGCAGAATGTGATGTTAATATGCTAACATGCAGAGTGGCAGACTCCTGGACCGTGGAGCACTGAATCTTCACGTCCTGATCGTGTGGTTGCGTAAACAGAGATAAAGCAGATGAGAAGAGGGTGTGAATCCTGCAGAACAAAATCCTACACTGTTGACAAGAGCATTGTACTTTTACATCAAAAAAATGATGTGCATCTGTGTAAATCCTGCTAAAATTTGCTAACCACTACCTTGGAACTAATGTGATCTCCAAGAACTAATGTTGCAAAGGAGGGCAGAGAGGTGTCTGCTAACCAAGCTGCGCCAGGCACTTTCACGGGTGTTATTGCACTGAATTCTCGTAACAATCCTAAGAGGGCAGGTGCTGTCCCTGTTTTTATCTATAAAGTCACTGAGGTTCAGAGATACGACCTTGTCCAAAGTCAAAACTAGTAAGTGGTGGAGCTAGAATTTGTAATAGATCTAACTCCTCTGTTATGTTTCTACCCTGGTATACCCCTTAACAGAGGTGTTTGTTTACTGAGGAAGTTGTTGTGAAAAGATGGGGGATGGGTATCAAATGGAATTCCATAAATAATTGTCAGTCCTAAGTAACTTTCATGTTAATGACTTAGATTTTTTAAAAAAAAAAATTTTAGATATAGTAGCCTAGAAACTTCACCATAACGCTTTGACTGAATTTCAGTGTTATCCAACATGCTTCCCTGTAGCCCTGTCCAGTCTCGAAGTACCTGCTGCAAAATATTAATACAGTAACTTCTAATCATCTTTGATATTTGGAAACACTTTAATTTCTTTCCAACCTCTTCTCATTAATCATAGATAGGATTGAGATTAACCATTTCCCTTGTGTTTCCTCCTTTTAACTCTGCTATTCCTTTTGAACGATTTCAGAACTCATGGAACTCATTAAATCTCCCGAAAGGCAGACGAAATAAAGGGGAATACTATTATTTATTAGTCTCTGTTAGGGAGGTTGTATAATCTTAGATCCCTCTATTCTATGGCCCAGTGTTTTAAGGTGCTTTTCAAAAATATCCGATTGTTAAGAATAGCTGCGTTCTTGAGATTGCTTAAAATTGGCATCTGTCGCTTTTATACAGTGATGGAGTGAAGGAAGAGGTAATGCAGCATTTAATAATTAAATCTTGTGTTTGTATATCACTGCCAGAATGTATGTGAAGATGGCCCATTTTATTCCTAGTTTTATTAAAAAGAATTACCGATGCATTTATCCGTTTCTTACAACATACATTTTTCAGTTTTCCAACATTTAAGGGACATTTTTAAGAAAAAAACCACTTAGCTTCTACATAAAATTAGCATTCTGAAACATTTTAGTTAGTAAAAGTTTAGTCAAATCAAAATTATTTTATCACATTAACATTGTGTTTTATTGGGATAATAATTTTTAGCTGTCATACTTCTTTTTTATATTGCCAAGTAAATTAAACTAAGCTTTAAACCAGTGGGTTTTTTTAATGGCATATCCCAAAATCGATTGCATTTCTGAAGGAAGTATCCATTAAAAATCATCACAATTTAAGATATTTTTATAATGTCAGTGTACAAGGGTAATGACCCATTTTGCAAAATCTTCTTATACAGACATTCTAATTCTTAATTTTTGTTTCTTCTTCTTTTTTTTAACTCCACTTTTGTTGACGCCTAACTGTTGCCAGTTGAAAAAATATTTAACTTGGCAGTAAAACAATGACAGTCCACCTGTGTCTCAACATTCATTGAAGTTTTGATCTTTTTGGAGTAAGTTGGAACCACAGTGAGGTACAAACACCTTTCTTTTCTTTCTTCTCAGTTATTGCCTTTCTAAGCGAGCCCTGCTATTTCTAAAATGAGAATTGATAGAGTATGTTTCAGTGATTTTTTTTAGTGATATCAGTGCTGCTTGTAAATTTTCTCTTTTGGATCATGCTTCTGTTTAAGATCTTTTATAAAGTAGGACATGCTGATGTGGTCTAGTTCTCAGGTAGCTGTTCAGGCTCTTTGACTTCAGCAGTTTTTCTGAGCTGTCCATTTGTGACCCTCTCCTAGGAAGCCAACTTTAGGAGCTTAAACTAATGTTTATTTTCCCAGCTATTCAGATCTTGGAATTTCTACTGAGCAGAGGGTCTGAGTTGATCATCCATGAGATTTAGATGGTATTTTAGGCCAAATGATGACATGTTTCTGTGATGTTCCTACTGAACTTTGTTCGACTTATTTCTGACCTCACAGTGGGTATTTAATGATGTGTGCCATATGATCACCAAACATCACCAGTCTGTGCTCTGTAAACTCCTTCAAAACTATCTTGGTAACTTATCCATTCTGTCACATCTTCTCAGACCAATCCCTTTGTTGCCACCGACTCATAGTCTCCCTTCTCCCTTTGTCCCTACTATTGCATATGTGTATATGAGTAGCTGTGTGTTCTTTATATTATAGTGTATATGTGTTTGGCTTTATCACACTTATCGTAACGCAGTAGATCGTGCTGGTCTTTCCATTCCTTTGCTTTTCCCTGTCTCTACTCTTATGGAGTTACACAGCCAGAAAGTACATTCCTCGTCAAGGTTGCCCATGTTATTCTTAGAACGTTCAAGCTTATTGCTTATCAAATGGGCGAGAACAAGGCAGATACTAAGAGTGCTGTGAATTTAGTTTACTTTCCGTAACAGAGAGTAGAGGAGTTGACTGACTAACCATCCCATCTAATTCTGCCATTTTTAAATTTAATAACTAATTCTAACCTTGGAATTGAACCCAACCAATATGTTTAAACTGATAAAAGATAAATTCAGCTTTTACAGTTGTAAAGGAAAGAAAATAAGTCACAGTAAACTCTGTTATGATATTGACATGATGTATAGTAACAGGGAAATGTAATATTTATTTTTCTAAAAATAGTATTTAATGCCTGTTATCTCTGGGTAGGGTTCGTCCAGACTTTGAGGATACTACATCAAACCCAACAGACAAAAATCTTTGTTCTCATAAGGTTTCGTTTCTATTAATGTTTTAATGTTATAACAAAATTTAGAATTTTAGAACTAGAGAAACTTACCTAAAGACAGTAATAACTCAAAGAAACAAATATTTTTTCATTCAAAGTATTCAAACAGTAAGTTAAGTCCTGATTAATGTAATACGGTTTTCACTTTCTGGAATAATGACCCAGCCAATCTTTTAAATTTTTTCAATTGCATATTATTTACTTACCTGTAATTGAATTCTTCGCTTGAGAGATAGAAGTGCTCATACAGTGAGTATGCCTCATTCCCTTCCCAGTCTTTGAGGTGTATTTTCAGCACATAACGCTGCTGATTGGTCAGTTGGGAAACAAGTTCATTTCCTAGCCAGTACTCTCCTGAAGGGTTACCAAATCCCTGTAATCCAAGTTGTAAAATTCAGTTACTTGATTTATTTTTTCTTTGAGTATTTGAAATCAACATTCCATCAATTTAGATTGAATAACTATGAAAATTTTCAGCAGGAATAACTTCTTATAATGTAATAATTTGAGTTCTTTCACATAGGAGAACAGATTAAAAAGGTCACTTTTAAGAAATTAAGCTGTTACTGGAAGAAAGTTAGTATTAGAGTAATGGAAACCATCAGTAGAAATAGCTAAGTTTACAGATGTGTTAAGCATTATGAAACGGTTGCCTTACCAACAATTGCTGAACGTGCCTTAAAAAACAAGCAGAATACTTCCATGTCTTTGTTTTAATATATAGTTTATATTACATAGACATGGCAGTTCTTTAATAAGAAGACAAAAACACCAACTTCAAAGAACTCTTTAATAAAAAATGATGTCAGAAGTAATTGGTTAGCTTAAGGTTTGTGCTTAAGGTTCTGCAGATCTTGAAAATTCATTTGCACAAAGAAAATCATGTATTTTCAGATGATTTAAGGGATATCCGTACCACTTTATATTCTTTCCAAGTCCTCTGAAAATCAACACTGCCGTCTTCACGTCGCTGAATAACCGTCCACCCACCTCCGCTTGTCTCCATGTCACAGTAAGCCTGTCAGTAGGAAGAGTGGGAAACAGCAGCGTCTTAAGTCTTTGTCTTAAGTAACAGAAAGAAGACGACTCTAGACACCTATAATAAGACTACTACAATAAGATAGGGTTTTCTGGAATAAGGAATGAGGGAAATTATTTCTGGTCTTCTAAGAAACAGTAGGTTTTAAATACATTGAAAAACATGAATTTAAAATGATAATAAAAAATAAACAACAATACAGTATTTAATATGACGTGCTGATGAAAACAGGACTTTCTTCCATACTTCCTGGGGTCATCAGTTTCAGTGTAAGACTCACCTCAACTGCTGACCCAAAGATTGCTGTTCCTTAGAGATTCATTGAGAATGGGACATCTTGACATGTTGTTCTAGTTGTTAGTTGCCATTGACTCAGTTCCTATTTGTGGTAACCCCGTGTGTGGAGAGTACAGTTGTTCCACAGGGTTTTCAAGATTGTGACCGTTCAGAAGCAGATCACCAGCCTGTCTTCTGAAGTGCCGCTGGGTGGGTTCAAACCGCCAACCTTTTGGCTGGTCATCGAGCACTTAACTGTTTGCGCCACCCAAGGACATCTTAACATATTAGCCCCTAACCTCACATCTCCCACCTATAGAAAACATCAACCCTGAAAACCTTTCACCAGGCTGGTCTCTATCAAGCTCTGCTGAGAGCTATATAAAAGGGTTACTCTTTCATTGTATGGTCTCTAAGACTCCTGTTATGTTCTTATGCTATGGAGCTGTTTAGGATCCCTCTACTGGAATAAAAACCAGATTTCTCTGTTCATCGTTCAGTACGGGGACTTGAGATTCTGTACCCAGTATGATATGTGTGACCTGAGCCTCACCTAGCAGCTTACCCTACAGATTGTGAGTTCAGGCTTCTTTGCACTTTGCTTACTGCCCACGGTATTTCTCTTCCCAGCTCCTTATTTTTGCTTTTAAACTGGCTCAGTAAGTTTAAACTTTGTTCAGAGCACAAATTTTTTTCTTGGACTAAGACTATGCATGCTCAATTTCAACTCAGCTGGAGTTTTATTATGAAATTAAAACCCCCTGAAAATAGATTACATAAATAGTTTTAAATAATGAGATTATAGTAGAGTGAAAAAGCATTCCAGAAAGTAAGATAATTTCCCTACAGCATACAAGGTACTAAATGTTAGTGTTAAGGTTCAGACCTAATTTTATATATTTTTTTTTTGCTTCGTTTATCTTTTTTAATGGTGTTGATTTGGAATTTTCCATAGTCTTTTTGAGAAAAATGGAGATAATTTTGGCAGGGTAAATTTAAATGCAAAGTATTCTGTATTTAATAGTTAGAACCCTAGAGAATTAGGTCTAAAAGAGAACTAAGAGAGCACCTAACCCTATTCTTTCATTTTACGTATGAGGAAACAGGAACCCAAAGAAGTTAAGCTGATTGCCTGATGTCTCCTTGCTAATAAAATTAGAGAGCTGGTGGTTAGGCCCCCACTTCCTGGTTTCCAGTGGACTTCTCTCTACCTCTGTTCTCAGACTCTCCCCATGAAGTCACTTTGACCATTTATTACTTTCTCCAGTGAGCCTTATGTTTGGAAAGATAGAGAAAATTATATTTATTAAATAATAATAAAATGGATCAGTTTAAGGTAGCCTCTTATTATCACTCTGTATTGATATTAGTGTTATTATTAATTATCTTTGTCATCATTGCTACACATCATGCTGTTCCAAGCACTGTGCTAGGTACTTTACATATGTTATCTCTAATCTCACAGCAACTCTGCTGGGATGCTATAATTCTGCATCTTTGAGAGAAGAAATGATTTAGTAAAGTTAGATTGATTTGATCAGTCGTGTAGCTATTAAGTGGTGTATATGGTTTGAACAAGATCTCTCTAATTCCAAACCGTGTCCTGTTTTTTCTACTATACCATGCTGCCGAAAACAAAGAAACTTGGCCCTTTTGTTAACAGGGCAGAAGTCCCTTAGCACAGCTCCAAATTGGAAATCAGTTCATGAATAATACTGCCTCTTATTTGCCTGTGGTCCACAAAATGGTCAATGCTGCTCACTTCTGTCACTGTGTCTTTTAAAAAAATCTATTTACTAAACTAGATAAATAACCTGCATTGGGTTTGGTAGGATTCATGAGTATACATAGAAGCTAGTTCTTCTGGAGCTTAAAATGGCCTACTGGTAAGTTGAAAGAATCGATGTTTTTAGTGAAAGTGTTCTTGTTCCTAAGGATCCCTTGGTGGCGTAAATAGTTTGCACTCGGTTACGAACCCAAAGGTTGGTGCTTTCAAATCCACCCAGTAGTTCCATTGAAGAATGGCCTGGTGATCTACTTCTGTAAGATTACAGCCAATGAAAATGCTATGGAGTGCAGTTCTACTCTGACACACAAGAGGTCGCCGTAAGTCTGATCGACTGGATGGCAACAGATTCTCCTTGTTCCAAGGATATTTCATTCTTCAATGCCAAAATCACCATTGTGAAGTTACTGATATTTAAATGCATGTCCTTACTAGGTCGGTGAGTTTATCTTGTTATGGAAATCAGAGTCAAGACTTTCAAATGGCTGAGTTTTGCTTTCTTCACTGCCAGTGCATAAAGGCGGAGCCCTGGTGGGTGCAGTGGTTAAGAGCTGTGGCTGCTCTCCCAAAGGTCGGCAGTTTGAATCCACCAGCTGCTCCTTGGATACGCTATGGAGCAGTTCTACTCTGTCCTACAGGGTGAGTCAGAATCCACTTGACGGCAATGGGTTTTTTTGGTAGTGCATAAATAATCTGAACCATCCCTATTCTCTTTGACTTATTTGTGACAGTGATAAGTTTATTAGAATAGCTTTTTAATACTTTGTCCAGATTTAAAAAAGAACAGATTGATAAAAACTAAATATTATGGTCAATTGGATCATAAAACTTTCAGAGAAAGACAGTTTTCAAATAAGTTATCCACATAGCCAAGAGGTATTGAATGAGATGATGAAATAGATTATATCAGGATCAGAAAAGCAGAAGTCATCAAATAATGCCAAAGACTTCAAGCACTCCAAATACAGCAAACCTGAGGGCAGTTAATACTTTTGATTAGCACATTGTTGCATGGTTCAACATCTTGCTATAAAGCTTGATGTTTTTCAACAAATAATGCTTGCTTTAAACGTTACGCTTCAACTCTGAGGCCATAGTTAAATGATTGATTAAACAGCAAACAGATAAAAATTAGGAGTCAGATATCCTGTTATATTAAGGGAAGGGAACTATTATTATGTCTCTAACTAGCAAAAGCATACTCTGATGCTTGTAATAAATGCCATCTGCAGTGTTTTTTTAAATAAAGTTGAAATATTTCGGCCTTTGGGAAAAGGTCTGCCAAAGATCTATTGAGCATTCTTGTCTTGAGTTAGAAGAAACAGGGCAAAATGGAGTAAACTGCCATGAAGAGAAATTGTCTTGTAGTTTCAGGGGCAGTCAGAATGATGATAACCGCCGTTTACTGAATGCACGCTAAGTACCGAGTCCTATACTTGGGGCTGTATGTGCGTTATCCCCGCCACAAAGTAGCACTGTAAGGCTGGAGGCATTACGGTCATGGTGCAGATCAGGAAGCCACGGCTCAGAAAGACTGAATGATTTGCCCAGACTCACAGATTGGCAGAGCTGGAATTTAAACCCAAGCCCATCTGACTTTCCCTCCCTAGGTCAGATAGTGAATTATAGCATATAAAATCTGGAAGGGAATTTCGAGGTAACTTAATCTAGAACGTTTATTTTAGAATGAGAAAGTTGAGGTTTTAAAAGATTATTATTCCCTGCTGTGTAAATAAATTCTTTTTACTGCAAATGTTTAAAAGGAATATAAATCCTAATGTGTGAAACCTTGAGCTGACACTCATAATCCTAGTGTTCTATATATTTTCACCTTTCTGCAGAACTCTTCAGTTAAGCCATTGGGTTGGTATAGTTAGTATACTGGGGCGGGATCGTTGCTTTCAGAAAGACTTGTATACAACAGCGTGAGGCCAATCTGTGCTTGCTTAGTGATGCTCCTGGATTTGCTCGGTGGGATGCACATTTGACTATATCCTCTGTCCTCCCCCTCTTGTGGCTACTGCTCCCCTTATCACTACACCACAGATAATAGTATAGCAAACAAAGAATTTTCATGAAAACAACGTCACAAAGGGGACGGTTGGTTGCTTTTTCACCTGTGACAGATGCTTTTTTGTTGTGATGGTTTTCCCTCCCCCCCCTTGACCGCTGCTGGAGCACTGGGGACATTACTTGATTTTCAAGGTTCATTTAAAGAAACACGAATGAATTAGAAAGATGTCTTTGGAAACCATTATCTTGAATAGCGTAATTTTTAAACCCTTAATTCGTGTTTTTAAAATGTTTTCTCTGATGCCATGTTAAGTACTGACGATAACAGTGAGCGCAAAAAACATAATACCTCTAAGGTCCTCGGAAATTTCCATTTTGATACAGTACTCAGTGCCTTTACTATAGGTCTTTACTTTGATTTAATATGCAAGCATATATATAGACATTGACTATATACTGTCATCTTTTATGGAGTCCTGGTGGCGCAGTGATTAAGAGCTCGTCTGCTAACCAAAAGGTCGACAGTTCAAATCCACCATTGGCTCCTTGGAAACCCTATGGGGCAGGTCTACTCTGTCCTATAAGGTTGCTATGAGTCGGAATCGGCTCGACGGCAACGGGAATTTTTTTGGTTTTGGTCATCCTTTATATATTTTAACATTTCACACTGGATTTCATATTACATTGTCCTATCAAAACTATGAAGAGAAGCCACATTGAAATATTCTCGGAAGAGTGTTTTTTGTTTTTGTTTTTGTTTTTTTTTCCCTTATCTAGAGCTCAGTGTCTCACAAAAGCAGTTTCAGGAGAAATATTCCCTGAGAAATCTAGAATAAATAAGAAAAATTGAGTTAAGCTACATCCTAGCTTCTCCTAATAAGTTCTGGTTGTGTATTCACTACATGCAGTGATCGATTATACACTTTGACATAAACTCCGTATCTTTGACGAGGCATTTTAAGTCTTTCAGACTATATCAGATGAGGTAAAGAATAGCCTATGCCAGCGATTTTCATAGTGTGGCCTGTAGGTTCCTGAACGTCCCTGAGACCCTTCCATTAAGTCCACATGATCAAACTGTTTTCATGGTTGCACTGAGATGTCACTGTGCTGATGGTACAAAAGCAGAGGTGGGTAAAAGCTGCATGAATTAAGGCAGTGGTACCCAACTGTACTAGTAGTCCTCATAGTCTTCGTGTCACAAACTCACCATTAAAAAGAAAGGCCAATTTCACTTCAGGATGTCTTTGACAAAGCAAGAAAAATGATTTCCTTTGTAAACCCCTACGGTTGAGTACATGGCTTTTTAATGTTCTGTGTAATGAAATGGGAAATATGTATAAATCACTTCTGCATACTAACGTACAATGGTTGTTTCAAGGAAGAAGTCTTGTGTGATTGTTTTAGTTACAAGGTGAACTAGTCATTTTTATTTTATTTTTTTCATGGAATACCATTGTTACTTAAAAGAACGGTTGACAGGCAAACTAAGGTTATTGAAACTTGAGTATTTGGGAGATATTTTCTTTAAAATCCAATGGATAAGCCTGGCACTTCAAAGAAAACAAACAAAATGCGAGAAGACTGTATTTCCTGTGGAAGAGAGGACAGATATTTGTATATCATTAGTAGATAAGGCCAATATTCTGTGCACAAAGATTGAACTTAGAACCCTTGGCAAATACTTTATGTGAGGTAGACATTCATTAAATGTTTGTTGCTTTCATTGAGTGAAGTTGGGGCAAGATCTGTGGTGTGTTAGATATACTCTGTAAGTTCCTCAGCTTCTAAAATGACCTGGTTAAAGTCAGGGGAGTTAAAAATGGGAGACAAGTGCCTTACCTTAATCTCTTCTGTGGAATTGGGAAATGTTAATGTGTAGATGCCATTAGTCGTAAGTCCTGATTTGAATGCTTCAGCACAGTCTCTGAAAATGATTTGTTCTTCTTTAGCAACAAAGGAGTTCTTAGCTGCTTATAAAAAATAGTAAAGCATTTAAATGGTGTTCATGAAAAGATAGAAATTTGATATTTCCTGACTCAGTCATTTATTGATTAAGCCTCCTTTTATTACATTTGAATTCTTATAATAAGCAAAAGAATAAGCCAGTTTCCTAGCCTTTCCAAAAAAGTTACTTTTTAAACTTGTTTTCCTGTTAATTATCAAAGATATTACTAATCGTCCATACTTCCTTTTTTACTGTCAATTAAATATAATGCAAGTACTTCACAATCAGCTATAATAAACTACTACTTTTTATAAATTTTCCATCTTGAGTAGAATTGAATAAACCTATTATAGAATAATAAAAAAAGAATGTCCTTACAAATTTCTAGAAACACACTACCTACCTAAACTAACACAATTAGAGGTATAACAACTAAATAAACCTATAACAAAAGAAGAGATTGAAAAGGTAATTAAAAAACTCCCAACAAAAAAAAATCCCTGGCCCTGACAGTTTCACTGGAGAATTCTACCAAACTTTCAGAGAAGAGTTAACACCACTACTACTAAAGGTATTTCAGAGCATAGAAGAGGATGGAATACTCCCTAACTCATTCTATGAAGCTAGCATAACCTTGATACCAAAACCAGGTAAAGACACCACAAAAAAAGAAAATTGCAGACCAATATCCCTCATGAACATGCAGGCAAAAATCCTCAACAAAATTCTAGCCAATAGAATTCAACAACATATCAAAAAAATAATTCACCATGACCAAGTGGGATTCATACCAGGTATGCAGGGATGGTTCAACATTAGACAAACAATTAATGTAATCCATCACATAAATAAAACAAAAGACAAGAACCACATGATCTTATCAATTGATACAGAAAAGGCATTTGACAAAATCCAACACCTATTTATGATAAAAACTCTCAGCAAAATAAGAATAGAAGGGAAATTCCTCAACATAATAAAGCTTTCCCCTTGAGAACAGGAACCAGACAAGGATGTCTTCTATCACCACTCTTATTCAACATTGTGCTGGAGGTCCTAACCAGAGCAATTAGGCTAGAAAAAGAAGTAAAGGGCATCCAAATAGGTAAGGAAGAAGTCAAAGTATCTCTATTGGCATATGATATGATCTTATACACAGAAAACCTGAAAGAATGTACAAGAAAACTACTGGAACCAATAGAAGATTTCAGCAAAAGTATCAGGATACACAATAAGCATACAAAAATCAGTTGGATTCCTCTACACCAACAAAGAGAACTTCGAAGAGGAAATCACCAAATCAATACCATTTACAATAGCCCCCAAGAAGATAAAATACTTAGGAATAAATCTAACCAGAGACATAAAAGACCTATACAATGAAAACTACAAGACACTACTGCAAGAAACCAAGAGACCTACATAAGTGGAAAAACATGAATTGCTCATGGATAGGAAGACTCAACATTGTGAAAATGTCAGTTCCACCCAAAGCGATCTACAGGTACAGTGCAATATCGATCCAAATTCCAACAACATTTTTTAATGAGATGGAGAAACAACTCACCAACTTCATATCGAGGGGAAGAGGCCCCGGATAAGGAAAGCATTATTGAGGAACAAAGTGGGAGGCCTCTCACTACTTGATTTCAGAAACTATTATACTGCCATGGTAGTCGAAACAGCCTGGTACTGGTATAACAACAGATATATAGACCAATGGAACAGAATTGAGAATCCTGACATAAATTCAACCACCTATGAGCAGCTAATATTTGACAAAGGCCCAAAGTCTATTAAAGGGGAAAAGACCATCTCTTTAACAAATAGTGCTGTCATAACTGGATATCCATCTGCAAAAAACTGAAACAAGAAACGAACTCAAAGTGGATCCAAGACCTAAATATAAAATCTAAAATGATAAAGATCATGGAAGAAAAAATAGGGACAACGGTAGGAGCCCTAATACATGGCAAAAACAGAATACAAAACATAACTAACGATGCACAAACTCCAGAAGAGAAACTAAGTAACTGGGAGCTCCTAAAAATCAAACATTTATGCTCATCAAAAGACTTCACCCAAAGAGTAAAAAGACAACGTACAGACTGGGAAAAAATTTTTGACTACGACATATCCAATCAGAGTCTAATCTCTAAAATCTAAAAGATACTGCAAAACTTCAACCAGGAAAAAACAACCCATTTAAAAAATGGGCAAAGGATATGAACAGGCACTTCACCAAAGAAGACATTCAGGCGGCCAACAGATACCTGAAGAAATGCTCACGATCATTAGCCATTAGAGAAATGCAAATCAAAACTACAATGAGATACCGTCTCACCCCAGCAAGGCTAGCATTAATCCAAAAAACACAAAATAATAAATGTTGGAGAAGTTGTGGAGAGACTGGAACACTTATACACTGCTGGCGGGAATGTAAAATGGTACAACCACTTTGGAAATCGATTTGGTGCTTCCTTAAAAAGCTAGACATAGAAGTACCATATGATCCAGCAATCCCACTCCTTGGATTATATCCTAGAGAAATAAGAGCCATCACATGAATAGATATACGCACATCCATGTTCATTGCAGCACTGTTCACAATAGCAAAAAGATGGAAACAACCTAGGTGCCCATCAACAGATGAATGGATAAACAAATTATGGTATATTCACACAATGGAATACTATGCAACAATAAAGAACGATGAATCCATGAAACATCTCATAACATGGATGAATCCGGAAGGTGTTATGCTGAGTAAAATTAGTCAATCGCAAAAGGACAAATATTGTATGAGACCACTATTATAAGAACTCAAGAAAAGGTTTAAACACAGAAGAAAACATTCTCTGATGGTTACAAGGGTGGGGAGGGAGAGGAGAATTCACTAACTAAATAGTAGACAGGAATTATCTTAGGTGAAGGGGAGGACAACACATGATACAGGGAAGTCAGCACCACTGGACTAAACCAAAAGCTAAGAAGTTTCTTGAACACAACCAGACACTTCGAGGGACAGTGTAGCAGGTGCAGGAGTCTTGGGACCATGGTTTCAGGGGACATCTAGGTCAGTTGGCATAACAAAGTTTATTAAGAAAATGTTCTGCATCCTACTTCGATGAGTGGCGTTTGGGGTCTTAAAAGCTAGCGAGCGGCCATCTAAGATGCATCAGTTGGTTCCAACCCATCTGAAGCGAAGAAGAATGAAGAATACCAAAGACACAAGGAAAGTATTAGTGGAGGAGACAAAAGGGGCCACAAAGACCAGAGTCTCCATCAGCCTGACACCAGAAGAACTAGACAGTGCCCAGCTACCACCAGTGACTGCCCTGACAGGGAACACAACAGAGAGTCCCTGACGGCATGAGAGAAAAGTGGGGTGCAGAACTCAAATTGTAGTAAAAAGATGAGATTTAATGGTCTGACTGAAACTGGAGGAAACCCAGAAGACATGGCCCCGGGACTCTCTGTTAACCCAGAACTAAAACCATTCTTGAGGCCAACTCTTCAGACAAAGTATAGACTAGACTATAAGACATAAAATGATATTCGTGGAGAATGTGCTTCTTAGTTCAAGTAGATACACGAGACTAAATGGGCAGCTCCTGTCTGGAGGCGAGATTAGAAGGCAGAAAGCGATAGGAGCTGGTTGAATGGACAGGGGAAATCAAGGGTGGAAAGGAGGAATATGTGGTCACATTATAGGGAGAGCAACAAGGGTCACATAAAAATGTGTGTATGAATTTTTGTATGAGAAACTAACTGGAGCTGTAAACATTTACCTAAAACACAATTAAAAATAAAAACTAAATAATAATAATAACATAAACTAAAAAAAAGAGATATTTGACTTACATCAGAACTGACTTATGACGGAGTTGTCAGAACAGAACCCATCGTAAGTCGGAGGCTACCTGTATTAGGTATATTGTAAAAGCTCATTTTTTAAAAAGCAACACTGTAGAATCCTTTTATAGTTTAGACACTGAGAATCTAAAGATGAAAAAAATACAATTTACCTGCAAAAAGTTCACAGAAATAAACACAGAAATGTAAAAAAACAAAAAAAGAATGTCCTTAAAAACAGTGTTACCTATAAGATGGCTGCATTGCATAGCCCTGCAGGCCATTATCATCCCTAGGTCATGGTGTGTTTTTTCTCCTTTCTTTTTGTGTATCTGAGGCCAAGTCTTTAATTTTCTGCAGAATATTGAGTGAAGACATTTAGTATTCTTTGTATTTTTAGCAACTGTATCATACAATTTGTCTTAAAGAGGAACATTTTGTGCATTTACCTGTGTCTTTGAAATTCTTCCTCTAACTCTAAAAATTCTGTTGTGATTGTTGGTTGCTGTTGAGTTAATTCTGACTCATGGCAACCCCATGTGTTACAGAGTAAAACTGATCCATAGGGTTTTCTTGACTGTAATGTTAACAGAAGCAGACCACAAGACCTGTCTTTCATGGTACTGCTGGATGAATTCAAACCGTCAGCCTTTAGGTCAGCAGTCTAGTGCAAACCATTTGTACCACCCAGGGACCCTAAAAATTCTAGGGCTATGAAATTCCTTAAAAGTGTTATCTTTTTCTGCATCAATTGGTCCCAACCACCTGGAGTAAAGGAGAATGTAGAACACTAAAGACACAAGGAAAGTATTTGACCAAGAAACACAAAGGGCCACATAGACCGGAGACTTCATCAGCCTGAGAGAAGAAGAATAGATGGTACCCAGCTACCACCAATGACTGCCCTGACAGGGAACACAGCAGAGAGTCCCTGATGGAGCAGGAGAAAAATGGGGTGCAGAACTCAAATTCTAGTAAAATGACCAGACTTAATGGTCTGACTGAGACTGGAGGAACCCCAGAATGCAAGGCTCCGGCCTCTCTGTCAACCCAGAACTAAAACAGTTCCCAAGGCCAACTCTTCAGGCAGATTAGACTGGACTATGGGACATAAAATGATACTCGTGAAGAGTGTGCTTCTTAGCTCAAATAGATACATGAGACTAAATGGGCAGCTTCTGTCCAGAGGTGAGATGAGAAGGCAGAGAGGGTCAGGAGCTGGTTGAATGGACATGGGAAATCAGGGGTGGAAAGGAGAAGTGTGCTGTCACAGTATACGGAGAGCAATTAGGGTCACATAACAATGTATGTAAAAATTTTTGTATGAGAGACTAACTTGAATTGTAAACTTTCACTTAAACTACAACAATAAAAAAGAAGTTTTATCTTTTTCTCAGCATTTAGACTTCCTATTATGCTACACACACACACACACACACACACACACACACACACAGACATATAAAGCCCTGGTGACGCAATGGTTAAGAGCTCGGCTGCTAACCAAATAACTTGGCACTATGAGTTGGAATATATACAAGGTCGCTCTGAGTCGGGATATGTGTAGGGTTGCTCTGAGATGGAATCAACAAGACGGCACACAACAACAACTGCGTATACATTTATATATATAATTTTTTTGGAACTATTGATTTATATTTTCTTTTAAAGACCTACCAAAGCATAGGTTTCTATGGACCAGATGGTGTGGATGGGTATCACAGGTAGACAGAGATCACATCTTCAGTCACACCCAAGGCACTTGGGGGAAGAGAAAAGTCCTATGTGCCCATTTTTTCTGCCAGGATCTAAGCCACTTGATTTTCTCTACTGTGGCTCTTCAAAGCTGCACCTCATACTCTCTTGGCCCCACTAGACAACATCAGATGATTGTCTTTTCTTTTTCTATGGATGTAAAAAAAATATGATTTTTCTAAATTATAAACCAAAAAAATCAAACCTGTTGCCGTCAAGTTGATTCCAACTCATAGTGACCCTATAGGACAGAGTAGAACTGCCCCACAGGGTTTCCAAGGAGTGGCTGGTGGATTTGAATTGCCGACCTTTTGGTTAGCAGCTGAGCTCTTAACCACTGCACCACCAAGGATCCTTCTAAATTATAAGAGAGTCAAATTCTAGTTAGAAGGCATATGTTGTGAACTGGCTAGTGTCTAATCTGTCACTTACCATCAAGATTGGTCTACTTTTTTTGTTTGCTTACTTGTTTTAGTAGAAACTGTGTTTTTTTATTAAAATTGAGAAAGTGAAAGGCTGAAATAACCGCATGGCTTAAGAAAAATGTGAAGACAGCATATTTCTTATGGAAGTGATGAATATTTCTACATCATTAGTATGCAAAGTATATCTATGTCAAAAGAATACAACTTAAAATGACATTATGAAATAAATCATAGTTAAGAACTCGACCCAATTTGTATAAAAAAAGAACTTAAATAAAAATGCCATAACAGTGTACATCACGTCTCTAGTTCATGACTGAAAATGCATCTTTTTTTTTTTTTAATATTTAAGAGAAGTTGAAAGGTAAAATAATAATAATAAAGAAGGCAAATATATTTAAGGATGTAAGGGTTGAAGATGACTAACTTTTCTTTGGTGCCAATTTTCTACAAGACACATGTAGGTATTATCTCATTTACTCTTCATAATAATCTTATGGGTCTCGTATTATTGTTCCCATTTAAAAAATAAACTAAGATCCCCTATGGTTTAGTGACTTCCTCAGCCTCCTGCATCCAGTAAGTGATGGAGCCAACTCAAAGTAGGCTCTTTCCTGCTTGTGAATCAGAAGTATTTTTGGGGTGTTTTGCCACATAATAGTTAACTAAAATAAATAAACATAAACTAACATAAGTAAACAAATGCAGTTTAAATACTAGAAAATGGATATGCTCGCCAGCGTTAGAAACTTCTAAGACATTGGCTTATTTTCTCTTTCTCATTTCCCCCCTTCTCCTGTTTCTTTTTAATTGATTCTATATTGAGACCCTGTATGCTTTTCTAGTGAATATATCAAGAAAAAAGTGCCTTTTCTGAAAGATGATCAATTTTTTAGGACTTTGAGAGTTTCACAGACCAAAGGCTGTTAAAACTGAGGAAGAAATAGGTGAACTTTACTTACAGTTTGATGTCGACATCAGAGACAACAAATTATGGACTGTCTCCATCAGATCATGTTGCTGCTTTTGGAGAACTGAATTGTTCGCGGTGGCGGTCACCAGTTGTCTCTCTAGCTCTTCAATAATGGAATTTTGCTTGGATACTAACACCTGGAGCTGATCTTTCTCTTCTTTTATGGATCGTAGTTGAACTACATGCTTGTCTTCCATGTCTAGGACTTTCTTCTCCAGGAAACTTGTAAAGGAAAATAATTGTTACTGGACAGTGTTCTGGTTATCAGCAAAGCCAAGTGCTGTATAGAAATCTAATCATTTTCATAATTCTAATGAATTATTTTATTGAGTTTCTACTTCTCTGAGGTACTTTTTTAAGATGTTATGGGAGTTATAAAGTAACAAGGTGCTTCCACAGCTATAAAGAAAATCAAACTTGCTGAAAAGGTATACATCTGTGTAGGTGTTTGTGTATACATTTTATACACACCAATGTACACACAAAAAAGATATCTCAGTCTGGACTATGGTAAGTGGCACATGAGTGCTACAAACATTAGGTGCTGTAAGGGGTCAGAAAAAGGACTGATACTGTTTCAAGCTGTGGCTCACTGAGTGCGGTTTTTGAGAAGGGAATGTTTGAGTTAGGCTGGACCTTTGGGTAGAATTTTTGCTTTCTCCTAAATTATATGCATTTTAATATTAATCCTAATAATAATAACAGCTAATGTTTTAATGCTGTGTGACAAATATTTCTCTGTGAAGGAGGTAACTACTTTGCCTAGGTTCAAATTCTGGCTTAGTAGCCCTGTGACTTCAGGCAATTTACTTAATCATTCTGTGCATCAATTTCCTCATCTGTAAAGTGGGGATAATACTACTACCTACTTCATGGGGTTGGTCTGAGGAATAAATATGTAAATAAATGTGTATGTTTAGACTAGTTCCTGACACACAGTAGCACTTGGTAAAATGTTAGTTATAATTAATATCAATGTTATTTTCTCCATTTCCAGTTAGGAAATTGAAACCTAAACCCATTGCTGTCAAATAAATTCTGCTCATAGAGACCATATAGGACAGAGTAGAACTGCCCCATAGGGTTTCCAAGGCTGTAATCTTTATGGAAGCAGACTGCCACATCTTTCTCCCTCAGAGAGAGTGGTGGATTTGAACCTCTGACCTTCTGATTAGCAGTTGAGTGTTTTAACCACTGCACCACCAGGGCTCCTGATTGAAACCTAGAGACATTAAATCGCATGCCTGAAGTCACTCACAGCAGGGGACAGAGGCAGAATTCAAACCCAGATCTTTCTGACTCTAAAATCTAACAGTTTCTTTTAATTTAGACCCCTTTCTTCTCTAACAAATTTAACCTGCATTATCACATACTTACTACTTACTACTTAAAATGTGAGCTAGCCCATTTAAAAGCTTTCTAAAAATTATATTTAATAGCTGATAAATTTACGCTGTATGATTTCTAGAAGGTTTTATTAATGGTTTTATGGTTTTTTTTTTAGTTTCAATTTATAAACATATTTTAGTATAAATACGATCAACTAAAAATGCAGTAATTTTACTTGATTCCTGTCTGCTAAGCTAGAGAAAATGTTTCCAAGTCTATGTGTGTGCCAAACACTTAACAATGTTAACTGCTTCCCAGGAACACACTTAAAGACACACACAGTAAATGTCCTTGGCAGACCTTTTAAAATAAGGCGCAGGAGCAAAGTTGGACAGTCTGGCATTTGACAGTAACTCTTGCTTCTTTGTCACTACATTGCTCAGCACATAAGAGGCTTTCTCTGAAAAGTCGACAGAAGAGAGCAACCAAAGTCCCTTCAAAATCTTCATTCTGTTTGTATAAGATCAGTAAATAAAACCCCCAGATGGAGAAACAAAGATGGCAAAGCAGTGAGCAAAGTGTCAAATCCTATCTCTGAAATTTTTCTTCTCGTCTAGAGTTTGGTAGAAATGAAGATTCTCCCTGTTAAATTTCACTTTAAAGGAAGACTTCGTCATAGTGCCTTTTTTGAGTCACCGATAAGTCGCTCTCTCTTCAGTAATGCGTTATAACAGTGATGGCACTTTATGTTTCAGAATTATTTTGAGGCCACCAACCAAGGAGAAAGACCTGACGACCTGTTGTAAAGAATACAGCCAAGAAAGCCCTATGGTGCAGTTCTGCTCTGTTCTGTGGGGTCGCTATGAGCCAGAATCGACTTCACAGCTCCCAACAACAACAAATACCACAGCCTCTGTTAGTCTTACAGAGATTAAGAACTAGTGAAATATAATTTATAAGCCGTTAGAAGTTTTGGGGTACATCTTGAGGGCAGAGAAAATACATTCTCTCCACTTGTTTGATGAGGAAAACTCGGACTAGGCATTTAATCCTACTGAATCCCTTTGCATTTACTTTCACGTGGCACAAAAATATGTGAAATCAGCATCCACATTTCACAGAACGGTGGTAACAGACTACTCAGGGTTGGGCTTGGGTCACATCTTACCTTTCTTTTATTCGTTAATGAATTCTTTTAACAGATTTATTGAACACCTACTATGTACAATGTGATTTTTAAGATTTTTGGGAAAAATCAGAGATGAAACCATTATGAGTCATAGTCTCAAAATGTTAAAACTGCAGGTGTTTTGATGGCCTTTGCACCAATAAATTAAAATTGTAAACCTAGGAATATCTTCACCAAACATGTTAATTCTACGACATTTTATATGATAACATCCATTGAGGAAAATATGCCCTTGTGATAACTTAAGGTTTGTAATTGAAAGTTATCACATAGAATGTATCTGAAGACCACTGTTTCACTGAAGAAGAAATGTGGGCAATAGGATTTCATTATGAGCGCTGTGGTAGAGTGAAAAAGCCTCAGAGGTTCCAGACTGGAAGTAACCTATAAAAACAATCGTTACCTATCCCCTATGATTTTTTTTGTATTTTTCGTATTGAGGTTTTTCTGTGCTGTATTTAAATATTGACAAAATATTTATTATGTATTATTATTAACTTTATATTTTTATTTTATCATATATTTAAGAGTAAATGTTGTGTAATGAAACTTGCTTTCAGTTATATATTACTTTACCCTGTAAGTGTATTTTACCTACCATAGATAATTTTGCATTGGAAAAAACTAAGTCCCCAAACACAAAGAAACTTGGTCAAGTTAATACTAAAATGCCTAGGCCAGTAGTCCTTTTACTTCAAGCACTAGCACTGGTTGTTAATAGAATTACATGCATAATATTGGAGGATCCCTGTAAAAAAATCTTTAAGGGGCCAGAAATGAAAAATAAGATGGAGGACTATATTAGACGTTCTATCGCCATTTTAATGTTTTTCCTAAATTCCCTCCATACCTTTTTGTCACAGGTTTCTAACTCTTAAACTCATGTTAAGAAAGTCAGCACTTTTGGAAGCTATGCTTATAAATAATAATTATGTGAGGTAGGTTTTCAGATCTGGGAAGTATACAGTTTGGTATTATTGTTTTTTTGTACTTTTATTACCTGTTCTTATCTTGCAATTTGTTTATTTCACTGGTCTGATCCAAAATCTGTTTTTCCAATTTGTTTGTAGAAAGGGAATGTTCCAGAAGCTGAAGTTCAAGTCTTGTTGTCTGATTTAATACCTAAAAGTAACAAAATGAAATTATTTTATCAAGTTATTTTTAATTAGATATAACTTACTGTCAATTAAATTCTCTGAATTATGAGAAAACATAACTGAAAAGTTATTCATTTACCTAACTATCTTATTTTGGCATGTATTACCTTTTCAGAAGAGGCTTCATGTCCTGTGTCCCATCAGAGCATATTAATTTTTTTTCACCATACCTTTATTTTGGGAAGTGTTTAATAGTCTAGACAATGATGTTTGTGTCAGATAATATGTTTTTTTTTTTTAGTTCTTTCATATTTTGTCATTTCTTTTCACACAGTGAGGCAAATGGGAAGATAGTCATATGTAATGTCTCTGAAATTGTTCATGAATGAATAAGCGTTTCCCTCTGCTCAAAACAAATGCTGTTCTCGTATTTGTCTGTCAGTAAATTAAAACAAAGAGATTAGAATACACATGCTTCCATTGTGTACAGATATAACTCCGTCTCTTTCTGCCTTGGCCTGATGTTTCCTAGTTTCAATTGACTTGTTTAGCCTTTCATTTTTCTTTTCTACTTTTCTTTTTCCTAGTTTAAAAACCATATCAATTAGGAAACAATAAAATGTCAACATAAAGTGGAAGGTGAGTTTTGCTTTGTATACCTTTCTGATATATAACCTTTTCAGGATCACTTTTCCCATTGTATTCAAACACCTTTAAAGACTAGTTCTTTAGAGTGTGGCTGCCTTTTGGCAGGAAGAATTGATTACTCACATCCTCTATGTTAATGGTTATTCAGGATGTGATACCACATTTAAGTGTAAGTCAGAATTGTTGCCAAAGAATACGTGTCCTTGAAAGAATCATTGTTTTCTTGCTGTCTTTATGTCATTAATGAATGCCCTGGCCTGGTCACACAGAGACAGTGATTTGGCTGGCATATTAATTAGACCCAAACATTTTATGTTGGTTATTTCTGAAAGGAAGTGGATATCTGGGTGGTGCAAATGGTTAAGGTCCTCGGCTGCTAACCAAAATGTTGGCAGTTCAAGTCCACCCAGAGACAACTTGGAAGAAAGGCCTGGTGATCTACTTCCAAAAAATCAGCATTGAAAACACTATGGAGCGCAGTTCTGCCATGACATACATGGCTTTGCCATGAGTCAGAATTGACTGGACAGTAACTGGTGTATTTTAATTAAGTAACTATTTTATTAAGTAATTATACAGCACAGTTTAGTGCTAGTCTTTGGCTGGCTGAACCATTATATGTTTTATATTTTATTACTTACTTGTGCTTCAACATCAGTTAATTTCCGAGTCTGCTCAGCCGTTTGATTTAATAGGTTTGTTCCTATTTCTATCATCACAGCAGTCTGGTTCTGTACTGCGTTCTGCTGCATCTCTACCATTTCTTTTTTCATGTTGTCCTGGATATAATTCTCAAGCTGGAAAAGAAGTGTTAAAAAGCCAGTCATTAGTCAAATGATCAGAAACTTTATTCCTAAATATTTGTCATCTTTTCCTCATCTTTGAAAAAATCTATTTTGAAGATCTTTGTCTTGCTGTAGTTTTAAAATCTTGCTATTTCCTTTTTTTCACTAGCAGTAAAATGTCGTTTTCTTTTATGTTAACCCAAAGTCTGGCAACTTGGTAACATCATGTGTAGGAGAGAGAGAAAAACTGCTCGTTGTTTTTTGCGTAGCTGTAGAAGTCCACGTTGTGGCAAAGGAGATAGATAAGCCAAAACTTAGCGATGGGAAGGTGGTGGTGGGATGCAGCAGGAAGAACCCCTGGGGATTTTACTGTGTTGTGTCCGTTCCACCAACTTAAACTCTGTCCGTGTTGTACAGGAAATGAATATTTAGTGCTAAGAATTTTATCTATTTCTGCTACCTTCTAGATTTTTCATTTCTCAATATACAGAGAGTCTCTGTTAGACTCCCCGAAATAGAGTATAAGGAAAAGAGCACCTTTTCCAAAACTAACAGTATCACCATCAGTTCCACGTTTGGCTCCCCCGCCCCGTGTCCCTCTTACTGAGGTTTATCACACATTAGACCTAGCAAGTTTTCCCTGACATATATGCATTTTTCACAGTTTCATCGTTTTCTGTATCAGGCATAGCAAACTTTTAATCAATTCATCCATCAATTTCCTCGTATATGAAATAGGGTTACTAATTGGAGAGAGAAGTGTTTTAAGAACAAATTAAAACATGCTTTTAAAGTCATTGTATGTGCATAGCTTTAGGTGCTTAAAACTTTAATTACCTTTCTTCTTTGTTTTTCATAAGGATCTAATAATGAGAGCCATGATTCCATTCATTGTTCTAAATTGTAAGCTCATGAGGACAGAAACCATGTTTTTATTCCTTTTCCACATAGTGTAACTCAAAAAAAAATGTATTAAATTAAATAATTAAAAGTTTGTTGTAAAACTGCTTACAGTAACTTTCTTTAAAACTTGTAATTCTCTACAGAGAAACCATTCAACTTCAGTTGTCAAACATAATTCTTCCTAAAATGTTAACCGTTAAGTAATTCTGCACTAGTCCTTACAGAGTGAAAAAACAGAACGGGACGGGTGGAGTTTCTCCCTTAAAGTTCAGGTGCTTCTTTGCTGATGCAGTTCACAAACTGTGTCTTGTGATTGGTTGTATATGGTCTTGACATTCGTACTGGAACTCTAAGCTAACTGCTCTCTCTCCCTGCCTCTGTCTGCTTCCCGTCTCCCTCCTCACTAGTTGGCTTGGTATTTAATGGTCACTCCCTGCTGACTGTTCTCTCTTGATGACTGAACAGATCAACTTGAAACATTATAATTACTAAAGCACTGATAATGTATAAAAATCTTATCATTAAAGCTTTTACTTCTCCAGTATTCAAAACAAAACAACAACAACAAAATACTATTAGTTGAAAGTCCAATAAACGTCTCTAGTAAACCCTTCATAAAATTTGAAGAATCTGATACCCTTATTAATCATTTATCAGAGCTAGTGCTAACTCCCGGTTGCCGTCAAGTCAGTTTCTATTCATGACAACCCCTGTGTGTCCGAGTAGAACTGTGCTCCATAGGGTTTTCGATGGCTGATTTTTCAGCGGTAGATCACCAGGCCTTTCTTCTGAGGTGCCTCTGGGTGGACTCAAACCACCAACTTTCAGTTAGCAGTCAAGAGCTTAACTGTTGATGCCACCCAGAAACTCCAGTGCTTGCTTAGCGCAAGCCTTTGTAGTTGCTGCGTTCTTTCCTTTTTAATTTATTTTTTCCTTCCTCCTCCCTGCCTTTTCTGTTTAAGATGTAACTTTTACAATGGACATACCCTGTTTCACGGAATCCACAGATAGCGGTTTGTAATTTCTTCCCTTCTCTTCCTCGCTCTGTCTCCCCCTCTCTCTCATCACCATGGGAGTAATAGAATTTTTGAGGTTAAAGTTACAGCTGGATCAGCCATCTAGAGGAGTTGTCTTAGCTCTTCTTAACACCCAGCAAAGATAATATTTAGAAAGATTTATTCTGGAAAGTTTGGAACTATAAAGATATACTCAGACTGGAGTTTGGTTTAACTCCATACTCTGAAATAATAATTTGCAAACCACTACAAATAATAAGTCTTAATCCTCCTATTGATTTCAGTACTTAAGAGCTAAATAAAAATTATTCCGTCTTTCATCACTATAAATCATAAAACTGGAGGAAAATGAATCCTTTCTTTGTTTGCCTTTTTAGAGCGTTATTGGGTCAAATGTAGTTAAACCACCAAGAGATAGACACGAGAGGAATGTTTATAATTTGAACTTTTAAAAGTCAGTTTCCAATTTAAAATTAAAACAAGAACTTTAGAAGACATAAAAGACCCAGTTTTTTAAAAATAGAACTTTTTAACTTTGTTGCCATATTTTTTTCTAATTTTGGAAACAATAGAATGCAAAATGCTTTTTAAGTCACTACTTTTCATCTTTTCAGGATAACAAAATATATGTGTATTGGCTGTGTGTGTGTGTGTGTGTGTGTGTGTGTGTCGGTGTGTACGTTGTTAATCTTAAGTTGAAGAAAATTATATATGAGGTGTGTGTGTATATACTTATACACATATATATAATATAACATTTACACATGTGTTGTATGCTTTGGAATATATGTATATGTGTACAATATACACAGTTTGGAAGGCATATTTCATTTAAATAAAGCAAAACTCTGATACTGACTCAATTGCTAACTAAAGTTTTTGTGAGGAAAATGGAACAGAAACAGAAATATGAAGTACTAGATAGTTTGTGTTGATTTAAAAAAAGATTTGTATTCTTACACTTAACGCAGTGAAATTAAGGTTTAAAGAGAAATGTGTAATATGGTAATTTGGTACTCTTCCAGCCATCATCCATCTGTCACTGGAGGCTTGTGTGTTGCTGTGATGCTGAACAGGTTTCAGCAGAGCTTCTAGACTAAGACAGACTAGGAAGAAAGGCCTGGCAATCTATTTCCAAAAATCAGCCAATGAAAACCCTATGAATCAACCAAGGTCTGATCCATAACCAATCGTGGCAATGGCACAGGACCAGGCAGTTTCTTTCTGTTGCGCATGGGGGGTTGCTGTGTGTTGGAGGGCAACTCAATGATATCTAACAGCAACAACAAGAACAAAGAATAACATGTTTAGCACCAGAAACAATAGGAACAGTAATGATAGTTACTGTTTATTGGTTACAATGTCTCAACTGCTATGCTAATCACTTTATATTGATTCTAGGTGCCTAATGTTAGAATAGACATAGACATTGGCTGATGGCTGGCATAACTGTAAGCAAATTGATAGTTCAACCCAGAGGCCACTCCACAGTTTCCCTGCCTTTTAACACCCTGCAGTGACATATCTCGAAATGGGCTCAAGTGTGCCCTGTAGTTTCTGAGGCCGACAATGCCTTAGAAAACAACAGGCTTCCTACCACTCAGTTGAAAACAGGAGGGGAGTGTGTTTTTACCCACAGAAAAGCCTAGAATTAGCAAGCATCAGTGCTGGTTTTATCTCCCGGGAGCATCGTGACAAAAGAATCCGTTTCTTCCTCCAAAGATAAGTTGTCATTTTTAGAGATAGAAAGACTCTGGACATTCATAATGTAATGAACATCTCAAAATGAAAGTCTCCCATTTAATGTATCCTTTTAGTACTTCACTACTTATCAAGCCACATAAGACCAACATGAAACCCATTTGGGTGATCCACATTGATGGATGTACCTTGAAATTTCCTCGTCTCTTGACCTTGATGAATTAGGGGTTTTTTTCTGGTTTATTGCTCTGGAATGCCTTTCTGTTCAGTATCTCTTTTTTCATATTTTTACTGTCTGTGACTGAAACCCAGAAATAAAGAAATTTTCCCAATGAACCAGTGCTGTCCCTCCCATCTGCAGCTTCACGCTCTGCTCTCCTTTGACGGATGTTCCCATCCGTGTTACTGGCACTTGCTGCTTTTATCAAAACAGTTCCCAGATAGTTGAACCTCCCAGGAGAGGGGACACTGTCTTTCTAATTTCTCAAGTGTGGCTGCACATATTCATGTTTACAGAAAAGTTTGACATTGCCCTTATATCTGAACGTAACTTTGCAGAGAGTGATTGTGATTTGTGGGTGCAAGTGCCTCTGAAAAGATCCTCACACACAAGTTTGAAAGGGCAAGTGTGCGTTAATGCGCTCCTCTTCTTAGGTTAGTGGTTTAGGCACTCTGTATTTAGTGAACTGTTTCTCTGTTCCTAGAATTCAAATGAATTAATAAACTTAATTAACACTGTAAGGCTACGCCCAGTATTGTAATGATTTGCTTAAAAAAAAAGTTATACACTGACAGTCTTTAAAACTTGGCAACGTATTGAAGCGCAAGGTAACCAGAATAAAATCTTTGAACATTGTATATTATATGCATACACACACACACACACACACACACACACACACACGCACACACACATATATACGAGCCCTGGTGGTGCAGTGGTTAAGCGCTCAGCTGCAAACTGAAAGGTCAGTGGTTAGAACCTACCAGAGATGCCTCGAAAGAAAGGCTTGGCAATCTACTTCTGAAAAAGCCTTTGAAGACCCTGTGGATCTCAGTTCTGCTCTGACACATGAGGTCACACGGGTACTCGATGGCAACTGGTTTGGTTTGTTCATCCCTCCTGACTCCACCCCTCCTTCCCACTCAGCTTTAACAGTTCTCTCTTCTGGAGTGTCAGACTGCTCCTAACTGCTCTCCCACCCTCCCACCTTCAGAATCATGATTTTTAAATGCACATTTGATCACACATTATTCTCTTGTCCCTTTGTCTGTAAGATAAAGTCCAGATCCCTTATCTTGGCAACATGCATACCTTTATAACCTGTGATCTCGTTAACCCCATACCCTTTGTGAACCTGCCTCCTAGCCATGTAAGACCCCTTGTGCTAC